GCAAACGGAACCACTGGCACCTTAATTGTATGATTTGTATAAATACCCCACAACAGGAGTAAATATCATATCTTAGACTGATAAATGGAACTGGAATATCGGCACTGATAAATCTGAACAGTAGCCACAAGTAACATTAACCTGATTCTGACTTTACATATCTGAAAAATGTTACATACAAAAAGGAAGTAATTGTCACCATAGCAAGAGTTCTTAGTGGGAGGACAGTGAGCTACGATTTTTGGCTTAATGTAATAAAAACTGTTCAAATCACCCATCTGCCAACCACCACTTTAAGGCTTCAGGCTCAGGTAGATAAACTTTGTATATCTAAAGTGAGATCTGTAGAGACCAATATATGTCAAAGTAATCATAGAAAACTATTAAGAATTGAGAGTCAGATTCTAAGATCTCTCACACTCTTGACATTCAATTGATTCTATGAGGATTCGGATAAGGAAGGAAAGGGAAGTCTCTCTTCCTTTGAATTTAAACTGTACTACAAGTGGGATGGAAACTTTACTCATTTCTATTCATTGCGACAATATTAATCAGAGTCTTTATGATCTGGCAAAAGCTGTGGGATACTTGAATGTATACCCAGCCCTGACAAAGTTTTTGTTCAAACCTGTAATTGGTACCGATGGATATCTTCTACTTGGAATATCAAGGAGTGGTCTTTATTTTAATGACAATATAATAAGGATCAGTGGCTTTATGCATTTTTTCTTTCTTTTCTTAAGAAATGTTATGATATTTAAAAATAAGAGAAGTAGAATGCTAACTCAACCAATTTCTTCTTGCCAAATTTATAAAAACTTAATGTGTCCTTCTTATTGATATGTTTAATTTAAAATATAAATAAGAAACTTATAGATATGAAAAATTATATTAGCAATGAACAATTAAGAATGATTTAGTGCTTCTAAATATTTCTGCTATAAATTTCTAAAAAAATATTAGGTAAATTACTATATATATTATAATGTGTAATAAAATTCATTTATATATTTTATGGCAGAGTTGAGCACTTAAAAACAATTATAAAACACTGGGTAAGACTTTATAGAGCATGATTCTAGAGTGGTAAGCGAGCTTGTGTAATCTAGTTTGCTTTTCCATGGGAGACAAAACTTTGGCTTGCATAATGTAAAAAATTATCTTCAGACTTAACTTCTCCATGAGCTGGTACCTTACAAAATGACATTATTAAGAAGTAAAGTTAACATCGTATATAGTATACATTATCTTTATATATTAATTTTATATATTAACTTATAATATTGCATAAATTGTGCATGCATACACACCATACATACTTTGTTCCAACTTAGAATGACATGGAAAAGCAAACAAAAATGTCCCTATGATTTCATTAATAAATATAGACTGGGATAAAGACATTGGTTTAGAACTGAATTTACAGGTACCTACTTGGCCCAGAAAACATATGCAAAGACTTAGTTTAAAGATGCTCTTTGCAGATGGCGGCTAAGAAAGGTAACTTCAAACTCTCTTTGGAAGAAAGGATCCCGTATTGGTTTTCTGTCACTGCAAAACAAGTTGACCACAGACTTAGTGGCTTGAAACAATACACATTATTATCTCAGATCTCTGATAGAGGTCTGAAGTAGTCAGGCCTCCCTGAATACATCAAGGTGTCACAATGTGTGTCACTTTCTGGAGACTCTAGGGAGAAAATGCTTCTGTTCATTATAGTTATTGCAAAAATCCACGTTCCTTGGGTTGTGGACCTAGATCTGCATTTCTTGCTGATCTTTAGATGAAGTTTTTTCCCAAGCCTCTAGAGGCTGCGGCTCATTCCTTGGCTCATAAGCTCCTTTCCTCAGTTTCAAAGCCGCAAATGGCAAGTTAAGTCTTTCTCGTATGATCCTCTTTAGATCCACATTCCTGCCTTCTCTTTCACTGTTTAAGACTCAGTGTATGCTCTAGATTGGGATCCACCCAAATAATTCCAGATAATATCTCATGTCTAATCATTAATTACAAACTGGGAAGCCCCCTTTTGTCATGTACGGTAACAAATTCACAGGTTCCACGAAGATTAGAACAGGGACAATCCTTGGAAGATAAATATATTGTTGAAACCGCAGCATAAAATTCAAGAATTCACTAGAAACAAAGTTCCAAGTCCAAGATTCTCAATAAAAAATGATGATAATGTAACCCATGATTGATGCGCACCCACAATAGACAACAAAATTAGCTTAAAAAAATGTTTAGAAAAACGTGGAGAAGAGGATTAAAATTTTGAAAGAGAAATAAGGAAGATACAGGAAAATGTTGCCAGTCTCTTATTTGGCCGATAACACAATCATGATAGGCGAGTATTTTAATGGAGCAGAAATTTATTGGCTTACAGTTCTGGAGGCTGGAAGCTCCAAGAGTCGATGACACTGGCACCTGCATGGCCCTTCATGCTGATGTGGCGTGTCCCATTGGATAAAGCAGAAAGGACAAGAGAATGTGCAAAGTAAAAGAGAGAGAATGGTGGGGAAACTTCATCTTTTTTTGAGGAACGTGACCATGGTAACTACCCACTATCATAGATGGCAGCATTAAACTTTCATGAGCGGCACAGCCTAATCACTTTTAATAGTCTTCACCTTCTCAACTATCCATAACAATTGGCAATTAACTTTCACATAGTTTTGCGAGAGGGCCCATTCAAATCATAGCAGGAAATATAGAGTGAGAACAAAAGATTTATAAAAAAATTTCTTACAAAATTTTATAAGAACATAACGTGTTGTTCATAAAATGGCTTCTTAAGATTGATTATAAATAGGCATCTAAAACAATAACTGTTTCTTTCTCAAAAGAGCATGCTCTGAAAAATAACAGCATTTTCATTTTTTAATGGATTTACGCTTTAGAATACCCTCCAACAAACGAGGCAAAATAGAAAGTTACGAATGCAAAACAAACACCCACATGTACGATCCATTAAAATTGGCAAAATTGATCAACATTATGTGACATATAGGGTAACATCATTGGTGTTGGGCAGGATGTGGGAGTGAGAGGACGAGATGGGTGTAATCAAACATAATGGGTGCAAGTGTCGCACTTTCTGTGGATGGGAATGCTTTGTATGGCTCTGACTTGGAGTACAAAGATAATATACATAAAATTTATCAAGATCCTACACAGCTACACATTTACAGACTATCAAGGTAAGTATGGTTGCTATTTGCAGCCAACAAAAATATAAGACAAATATTAAAGATGCAGTGTGAAAGTATAACTGCATAAAAATTAACTGTAGTACAGATTGGTAACTAGAGAAATATTTTGTAGCCATCTCCTGTTGCCTACCTGCAGCGTCCAAGTATTTGAGTATCTACTTGAGACACCAACTACTCTGACACTAATCATTTCCACCAAGAGCAGTTTCAGTCTCTCCAGTAAATTGCTTATCCAGATAAAAAGGTAAAAGGTGATCTCTTATGGTTCTTGTGTATATTTTATCATGTTTAATGCAATCCATAAACCTTGCAAAACAACCTGGGACCCATACAAATTGTCTGTAGGGATGCTGGAAGTACTCCCAAGAAGCAAGGTCGTGATATTACAAGAAAAAAGTTGAATTGCTTGTTATGTACCTTAGATTGAGGTCTGCAGCTGCAGTTGCCTGCCGTTTCAAGTTAAATGAATCCAGTGTAAGGACCATAGTAAATAAGCAAAAGGAACTTCATGAAGACCTCACTGCAGCTACACCAGCAAGTGTAAAATCTAACATTTTTTGTGACATACCCTTTTATCTCATAGTGAAAATGCAGCTTTTATGTGAGTGCAGATTGCTATAAGAAAGGCATACCTGTAGACTGTAATATACTTCTTCAAGAAAAAGTGAAGTTATTCTCTGACAACTTAAACCAAAAGGAATGTGAAAGATCTAAAGCTGGAGAATTTAATGTCAGCAAAAGATGGTTTGACATTTTAGAAAGAGATTTGGCTTAAAATTTCTCAAGATAACAAAAGAAACAGCTTCTGCTGACCAAGATGCAGCAGATGAGTTCCCACATGTCATTTAAGAAAGGCTACTTTCTTGAACAGGTTTTAATGTAGACAAAAGTGCCTTATTGTGGGGGAAAATGCCACACAGACATTTAATAGGAAGGACGAGAAGCAAGCACCGGGATTTAAGACAGGAAAGAATAGTCTAACTCTGATGTTTCATGCCCATACAGTCAAATTTATGATCAAGACTGCCCTTATCTATACAGCTGCTAGCTAACCCCTAGGTCTTGAAGGGAAAAGATAAACCAGCTTCCAGTCTTTTGCTTGTACAAGGAGATGTGGACAATGAGACCCTTTTTCTGGATTGGTTCTACTGATGCTTTGTTCCTGATATCAAAAAGTACTTTGTCAGTAAGAAACTGACTTTTTACGTTCTTTTGATGTTGGAAAATGCTTCAGGCCACCCAGAAGCCCATGGGTTCAACACTTCAGGCATTGGCATGGTCTACTTGCCCCCAAAACAATATCTCTAATTCAGCCTCTAGATCAGGGAGTCACAAGGACACTTAAGGCTCATTACACATGGTACTCTGTGGGAAGGATGGTCAATGTTATGGAAGAGAACTCCAATAGACAACATCACGTAAGTCCAGAAGGATTATCCCATTGAAGGTGCTATGTTGTTAGATAGAAAAGTGTATGAAAGCCATCAAGCTCAAAACAATAAATTCCTGCTGGAGAAAACTATATCTAGATGTTGTATATGAATTCATAGGGTTTATGACAGAGCCAGTCAATGAAATCATGAAAGTGATTTTGAATATGGCAAAAAAAATAAGGACTAAAAAGTTAGACGATATGGATCTTGGGGAAATTCAAGAGCTAATAGACACCACCACACCAGAGAAATTAACGGAAGAGGACTTAATGGAGATGAGTAGTTCTGAACCAGTGCCAGAGGGAGGAAGAAGACATAGAAACAGTGCCAGAAAACAAATTGACAGTAGACTAGATGGCAGGAATCTTTCAATTATTCAAGACTGCTTTTGACTTCTTTCACAACACAGACCCTTATAAGATACAGGCACTCAAACTTAGCTATCAGGTACAATAAAAATTCTCCTGGTGATGAACACACTAAAAGCCCTGAATTAAGTAGTATACAAGGTATCCATGCAACAAAAATATTTGTACCCCCTTAATATTTTGAAATTTAAAAAAGAAACTAAAGTGCATGGTGGAAAAAGGATTGGTACCATACAGAAATATTTTTGGAGAAATAAAAAAAGTAAGAAAGTCAGAAAGAAATTACGAGATATCTCTATAAAGTTTCATCAAGTGTGCCTGCTTATTCTGCCTTCCTTCCACCTCCATCTCTTCCACTTCTGCAACCCCTGAGACAGTAAGACCAATTCCTCCTTTTTCACCTCCTCCTTAACCTACTCAGTGTGAAAATAAGGATGAAGACCTTTATGATGATCAACTTGCACTTAATGAATAGTAAATATATTTCCTATGCCTTTTGATTTTCTTAATAACAGTTTCTTTTCTCTTGCTTGCCATATTATAAAAATATAGTACAGAGTACATATAAATATATTAAGTATACAGTGTATAATACAAATAAAGAAGATCTGATTTGTGAGATAGCCAATACAAAATATTCATTGGTCTACTGTTTATCTTGTCAGTAGTGCTTCTGGTCAACAGTAGGCTATTAATAGTTAAGTTTTTAAGAAGTTAAAATTATACACAGATTTTCAACTGCATGGGCAGTCAGCAGAACCCTACCCAGAACTCTTGTATTGTTCAAAGTTCAACTCTTCTTCAGAACAACAAATCGAATTCCACCAGAAAACATCTAAGTTGAAAAAACAAGTGGTTCACATAGAAAAATTTTAAGTTGTTAAATGTTAATGATAAAAACTTTAATATAAAGTCTTAATTAGTGGTTAAAGTATAAAACTATATTATGGGGGTATACAATAAGTATATGAATCAAGAATAGTTGAAGAGTAAAAGCATTCTGAGAAACTTACATTTTGCAGAAGGCAAGTGATAATATATTTTATCTAATTTGTTAACTACAAAGTTAAGTGTCCTTGTTACTTTTTGTTGTATTTGCTATAAGAATAGAAATAAAACATATAATTTTGTAGTTAATAGAATAAAATTAAATGAAATGAGAAAAAAACAAACAGATAATTAAAAGGCAAGATGGGAGAAAAAAGTAGGAAAAGTAGAAAACACAACATAAGATAGAAACGAATCCAAATATATCTTAAAACTATAATAATATGAATGGACTAACTGCTTGTCTTAAGAGCAAAAATTATCACACTGCATGAAACATATAATCCAGCTCTTTTTGATTTGTAATATATATCTAAAACATAAGAAAACAAAAGGTTGCAAAAATGGATGAAAAATAAACTGTGTTTATGAAATACATAACAAAACACAACTGATGTTACTCTTCTGTATAGTGTAAAACAGAGCTTAAAGTATAACTAGAGATATTGAAAATATAATGATAAAATGTTTATTTCACCAAACAGATAAAACAATTTCAAACTAATATGCATCTAACCACATAGTGTTAAAATACATAATATAAAATTGACACACCTGCAAGGAGAAATTGAGAAATCTACTGTCCTTGTGGGGAATTTAAACTTTAATCTTCCTCCTTAATTTTTGACCTTTTTATTGTAAAATAAGACAAACAGAAAACCACACAGAACAAACATACAACTTAGTGAATTATTAGAAGGCAAATACCCTTGTAACCACCACATGGAGCAAGAAATAGATACCCCAGAGGGTTCTCTCTGTGCCTCCTCCCAATCACAACCTCACCCTCTCTCTCTCTACAAGCAACCACTATTCTGACCTTTATATCAATAATTCCCTGATGTTTTTCTTTATGTTTTTTTCACCCAGTGCACATCCTTAGACACTATAATTTTTCAGGTCCACTTTTTAAACTTGATTTTTTTAAGTCTTTTTATTACAAATTCTCCCTCCATCCATTTCTTTTTCTTGAAATTTATCTGTTGAAGAAATAGAGCTATTTGACCTGTAGAGTTTTCCTAGTCTGGATTTTGCTAATGTTATACTCATAGCACTGTTCAATATGTTTCTCTGTCCCTGAATTTCCTGAAAATTTCCGACTGCATCTTAAAGCTTGATCAGACTCAGGTTCAGTCCTTTTGAATAGACTGTAAGTGATGGGTTTTTTTTTTTTTTTTTTTTTTTAGTAGTAGCACAAAGATAAATCTCTTAATGATGTGTAGAGGAAGTAAATGAAAGTTCCATAGAAGAGGAATTTTACATCATAGGCTTATCTTTAGTCAGATGTAGAACGTTGCTCCACTCTCTAACCACAAATATATCAAGTTAAATATCAGTGTCAAAAATATAACTATACTCATGCGTTTTGGAAAGGTGATCTTTTTAAAATTCACCAAATATCATATGTAATGATGAAATAGAAATATTAATTTTAAAGTCAAGAAAGTAAGAAATCATGATGTCTGTACAACATCAAACTTATGTGCATTTATGTCTTTAGTTTAAAAATATTATTTTCTTGGCCTTTAGATAATATCCATATTAAGTTGACTTCATTTTAACTAATATGATCCTTTGCACAGTTCTTGACATTATACTGGTATGATGCCCTCCTCCCCATAATTACCTTCCTCATTCTCTTTCTTCTTTCCACAAGTATTTATGAAGACTGCACGCACTATAGTTTACACCTTATTATACAGCAATGGATGAAAAAAAACCTTGGCTGTTAGGAGGCATGTCATCCTTTTTCTTTTAATGCACTAATATGGTGAATTTATATTATAAGATTCTAATACTAAATAATGCCTTTCTTTTACTATATATATGTATATATACACACATACATATAAACACTATATTTTAGTTCATTAACTATATTTTTTAAATGATAAATTTTTGTTTAACCCTGTATAATAACTTAACAAAGGTTATTGTAAAATATTTAAAAAATAAAAATGTTAAATATAATATGCCCACTAAATACCTTGAGAGGAAAAACCAAAAAAAAAAGCATACATAAGGAGTTGAAGGCCCCATTGTATCACTCTCTAATTCTCATTTTCCTACTTCATCCTGAATTTCGTGTCTTAATGCATTTGTGGCATGATACTGAAATATATTTCTAAATATATATGGCATTGTTTGGATGTCTTTAATCTTGTATTATTGCCCTCATTCTGGATATATCCTTCTTTTCTTATGTCTCTTTTAATGCATAAAGCTCTGATTGATTCATTTTCACATCCATCCAAATATCCACACTTGATATATATGATTTATTGAACCACTCTCCTGTGACTTTGGTTTCATTTTATTTCTGGAAATTTTCAAATCTGCTTACTTCATTTTATTTTTTGTACAGTACCTTTTCCTTTCCTTATGTTTCGTATTTCTATCTGTATCTCTTTAATAACTTTAAATTCTTACTTTAAAGCTTTTGTTCTATTATTTCACAATTATGTTTCTATTTGCTAAACCTCTCTCATGGCACTTCGGTTTTTCATGGCTCCTCAGTTTATAAATTATGATTTTTTTTTAAACTGAGCACTCATCTTAAATGCAGCCCTCTTGTTTCCATATAAATATACCTTTATGGGTTTTATGCACTAAGAGAAGCCCAGGCTCTATCTCTTTCTTTTTTAAGAAATTCTTTATCAACATTGTAACTTACATATTTATGTGTACAATTTAATGTTTCAATACTTATCTGTGTTATATTATGATCCAATCTATGATAAGATAGTGTATCCATTATGCTATGAATTTATTATTCTTTGTGATAGACCTTCAAAAACCTCCTTTTAGCTATTGGTAATGAACGAATATTTACTATTAACCTTAGTCATCCTACTGTGAGTAACACAGTACCTCTCATTGTAACTTGTCCTTTGCAATTCCCTCCTCTCTGATTGTAACTTTTACTTTGACAAACCTCTCCCTATCCTCCTTCTCCCCTACCCCCAGTCTCTGGTAACCACTATTCTACTCTCAGCTTGGTTTCAGGGCCCACTTTTGTGCTCCTTTTGAGTTCTCTCTTTAATTATAGCATCTGGGAAAGTCTTTTTTTTGTTGTTTTTTTCTTTCCTGAGAGTTCAGTTATGTATTAAAAAGTTTATGCAATATAATTCAAATTTTTTCTATGTGCTTATAGCAGAATTTAGAATTATTTTGATTTATTCACAATTTTCTGTTGTCCAAAAATTTTAAAAGATTTTTTTATTTGTTTGATTCTAACTATAGTGATTTCTCACACTCCCTAAATGCAAAGCCGATTAGAAAATATATACTTTATCTTTTAATCAGTTCAGTATAATTAGGTACAATCAAACTTTCTTTTTTCTTTATTCTATTTTAATATCCAATAATATCATCAGTGTTTTACTTGACTTTGTCTTATATGCAAGTTAGCAAAGAGACCAAGTGCTGTGGTGACACCTGTAATCTTAGCCCTTTGGGAGGCCCAGGGGGAGGATCACTTAAGGCCAGAGTTCAAAGACCAGCCTGAGCAAGAGGGAGACTCTATCTCTACTAAAAACAGAAAAAATTAGCTGGGTATATTAGCTGTAGTTCCAGCTACTTGGGAAGCTAAGGCAGGAGGATCGCTTAAGCCCAGGAGTTTAAGGTTGCAGTGAGCTATGATGATGCCACTGCATTCTAGCTGGAGAACAGAGTGAGACTCTGTCAAAAAAACAAAAACAAACAAAAAAAAAAACAAAGAAAGAAAACTTGGCAAACAATAAATTTTTTTTTCTGTAAAAATTAACCAATTATCTGTGAATATTATAGAAAAACTAGAAAATAAAAATTAAAATATAATTTACATGTAGTTTTAAAATCTCTTTCACTATTTATATTTAATATAGGACTGTACTTTGCATACTGCTTTGCTGCCATGTAACTATTTATTTTTTCAAACTCAGTAAATAA